AATATTTAATTATTTTTGTGCTGTATTTTTGCCCCCCTCAAAGTTAAAGCCGGTTCCGCCCCTGTTAATATATAATAATTCGTTAGTTTCCTAGTTGCTCACCTTCCAAGAAGCATGCGAGCTTGTCAAGATTGGCTGCCACCAGCATATGGAGATCTTCTCCAGCCCAAACTGGGAAGACAAACATGGAGGTGCAGAGGCAAGTCGTTACACCAATGGCTACAGTGGACAATCTCCGGTACGCAAGTTTAATAAGTTCATCCTCTCTGTAGCTCGATACAGCCACAAGACTGAATGTTTGTATAAATATCGTCACCCCGTAGTCATATCTAACCTTTATCTCTGGCATAAACCGGGAGAATGTCGCCATAGCCGCTGCAAGCATAAAAAGTGTTAAGATTTCATTTGGGAAAGCTTTTTTATTGCTTCATAAAGCAGCTTTTTAGTAAAAAAAATTAAAATTTTCATACTAGAAAACTGTTTTAAGAAGCAGAAAGAAAGCCATCCGAAACGAAGTCTAAGTATAACAACATTGCTTCATTAATATAGTAACTATAATGTTTTGTTCCTTACCTAGCATGAATACAAACACACCGAGTAGTATGGGTTCTCCTTTGTCACCGGCGAGCGCGGCCAAGTGATGTGCGCCCAAGCCAAGTGCTCCGGCAAGCAATGTTGCAAATGCCCGGTTGAGGCCTTTGCTCAACGTTCCACCTGAAAATTTAGAAGCAAAATTTTATTTGAGAAAATCCTGAAAAAATTATTTTAAGAATATTACGTTAGGATGGAATAGGATATATATCTTTAGATTTATGATGAGATTTGTTACGGGCATGAATATAAGCGGCGATAGAGTTAGAAAATTTTCGTCTCAACATTGTACCGATATCTAGAACACAAACATAACAAAAAAGGAACACCAGAATTTTTATGTGGAAAACTTTAGAAAGAGAAAAATCAAGGGGTCATGCCCGTATTTATATATCATCATGAGATGTAGGAATCTCAATGGAAATCTAATAGCATTTAGGCCCATGTTGATGTAAATTGTGTGTGAATATCAAAATGTATTTTTTTCATACAAATATAAATATTTTTACATACCAACT